AACAGCAGTTGCTTAGGTGTGTCAATGTGTTTACATGTGTTTATTTTACTGCAAAAGAAAATTCCAGCAGATCCCACTCACTATAGAAAACTATAAAAGAAAACACACCTGTGCTTATGTCTAGGTGCGCGTTAAAAAACATCAGGTGATCGAAACTGATCTAGAGTTCCTATACTTCACGGCGTAGGCACAAAGTATACTTGCGTCGCGTAAAAGCTCAGGCATTGTTATCGTGGTCTTGTAAAAATGTCTGACCATTTTCGCTATTCCAGTACGTGGCTTCGAAATGCCAGGATGCTTTGCATTGAAAGGCCAGGTCGCGCGTTGCAATCAAAGCGGCTTCGCGTACATAAACAGCGCGGGTCAACTACACGTGTATACAAAGCGCGTACACACTCCACACCGGAAACAAACAAACGAAGCAACAAATAAAAAGCTCGCCCTGCTCCACTCTCGCTTCTCTCGGCCGTACGCTCCTTTTAGCGCGTACACACATTGCAGAGCCACAGCGAATGTCACGAGCCTCTTTTTAACAGGCAAACACCCTCGCTTCGCCGCGGCCGTAATTGGATCCGGAAGCGTCGTACAAAAGCAGCGACGCTATAGTGTACGATATATATAGGCGTATAACGCGCACTAAATCACGCTCTCTATACGCGCTCTCGGCGCTGATGTAAGCGTACACTCGAAAAAGCACGCCGTGCTTGCACGGTTGGTCGCCCCTGAGTACGTTCGTAAACGTGCCACGCGAGAGGGTGATGAGTGTTTTTTTTTATCTCATTCCGAAGTTTTACTATTTTGTTTCATCTCCTTATAACACGTCCATCCTTATTCGCCTTAGCGGGAGCGCGCCTGCCTGATAAGCGACATTACATTACCGCGCTTCCATCGCGAATTCTTTTCTTTTTGTTTTCCTTTTTTGATGTAGTACATACATAGGCTGCAATGTGTATAAATTGAAAGCGAAGGCGTGTGCTATGTATATATGACACGCCAGCGGGCGCGATAAGAGCTCCATAGTCAATTGGTCGCGCACGCCACCTTGAGCATTCAATCATGCACGCAGCTGTGTATACCTGCCTCACGCACGCACAAACAGAAGCTCGCAACGAACGAACCCGGGCCCGGGCGCAATTTATAGGCCGTGTTCGTCGTGTTGGCAAGCGCGTCTGCGACAAATAAGGTAATGTGCTTTCTCTTCGCGTATGTATATATTTCCTTCTTTCTTTTTCTTATCTGGCCGAGGGACACGTGCAAACGGCCTCGGAAAGTCCTGCGAGTGGTGGCTCATTTTAATTAAATGTTCCTTATCTGTGTCGTGGTGTACCGTGCACTCGCGCTTCCCGCGGTTCTCTTTCGTTCGTTCTATAAGTTTCATCTTCTCCTTAGCCTGTCCGATGAAAAACCAGGCAAACCTCTCCAGCTTCCCATTATTATAATTCTCTCTCTAAATAAATCTTCTTGTTTGCTTTTTCGGCGTTTTACTGCTTTACACTGCACCGCATACCATTTACCTCTTCCGTTCTGCTGTGCTTCCTAAGCGAAATCGCTGCCGCGCTCGTGAGCGTCGCATATGTTTTACAATAAAACGCTTTGTCAGTACTGCAGCGTGCTTCGCACAACTTGCGCGTCCCGGTGCCCATTTTTGTTGTATTCACGCTGCTTCGCTGCTTTGGGAAGCTCGGAACAATCAAGTACACAGGAGAAATTTGTTTACGCGAAAAAAAAAAAATCTTTCAGCAATCTTCTTTCGTAGCGTGCTATGTATATCTTTGTGAAACTGCGGCCACAGACTTGACTTCTCGGTTGCACCTTAACATCTGTATTGAAACGGACAAGAAATCCATGAAGTATAGAAAAGAGAACCGAAAACAATCGCACAGGTGTATCGACGTCATTCGTTCTTTCTTCATATAACGTTCAATGCGTCTAGGAGACAAAAAAACGCCGCAGCCACGGTAGGAAAGGAGGGGTGGTTGTAAGTCTGCCTCCTAGAAATTCATATATTTAGCATGTGTTATGTACATGCACAAATAGAAACACACGAACGAACATACATATCAGTGGTTGAACATACGCATAAGTAGTTGAACATATGTATGAGTGGTTGAACCCTCCCCCTTCCCCCAGAAATGTTTTCAATTAGAGGGCTGGGGACCACACGGATGAAAAAAGAGCAAGTCATTCATTCATTCATTCATTCATTCATTCATTCATTCATTCATTTGATTCTGTGTGTCTGTCGAAAGCTATGAGCACTTGTAACAGACTACAAAGTAGTGAAAATTCTAGCTATTTGGTTCATGATCTTCACTTTGCAGAAAGCGAAAGGAATTACCCTAACAAAGTTTTATTTGAGCTTTGAAGATCTTGTAGTGGTGCACTTGAAAAGCAGCGCCATCAGTGCAAGCGACATCGATTTCGAAATACGTGATTTTGGATTTCGCTCTTCTCTCGACAACGCAACCTCAAGACGAAATGGTTCAGTGTAACCTTAATTCAGACGTGGAATCGTAGAGTGGATCACCCTTAACTCTTTTATGAAATCTCTTTTTTCGTGTTACCATTTAATATTTATTCGAGCTGTCCAGTAGAGATAGGCCAAAGTTCTTCCTTCAAATAAAAAATTACACCGCAATCGGGGCATAGGGCTCTTAAACGCATCCGCAGATTTACGCTTGCAAAAAAAAAAAAAAGTCTGGTTTGCCTAACGTTCACCGTTTCCGGGACCGGGCACGGCTGCAAATGTCCTGCGAAAAGGAAGTGGATAAATTAAAAAAAAAACATGCATGAATGGACGGAAATGGTGACGTCTTTGAAGACGATGGCATGCGGAGAATGAGGAAGCCAACATTTATGTATGATAGCGTCTTCAACTTTATGTATGATAGAGACTTCCTTTCAACCTTTATTTGCTATAACAACCATATATATATATATATATATATATATATATATATATATATATATATATATATATATATATCGCTGAGAGTGGTCCTAGAACGACTGGATGGATGCTCGTGAGCATCATTGCGGCATTGGGTAAGATGTGTACCTCGTCGTGTAAGATGTCCAGGGTTACATGTCTGGGATGAAATGCCAATGAATGTACTTAAACCAGTTGACGCAAACATTAAGGGCAATTAAAACTGCAGGAACTGTTGCATTGAGTTCATCGGAAACGCATTGCCCTTGCTCCAAATCACCTCGCTAGATGATTTAGAGCTCGAAGCTTCTCGCAGGACCGTCATACTATATGCGTTGTGAAATTGCCTGATTTGTTTACATGTATTTTGATAAACATAGCTGTAATGCAAACTTTTTTTTCAGATGGGCGTACGCGACTCCGAGTCGGTAAGTTCTGGACGCAAGTTCACAAAAGTTTTCTTCCTATCTGATCTTCGCTATAGGCTAGACGGGTTCGCTAGTGATATCTATAGCATTGACGTTGCTCAACATTAAGGTTGTTTGAAATTAAGGCTGGAAGAAGATGCTCGGGTAGATAATTTCAGGTACGCCAGGCTAAAACTGCTGCCTGTAGCAGCATCAGCACCATCGCCACTAGGAGTGCTTGAAATTTTCGCTGGTGAATGAATCCGATGTATAAGACGTATAGATGTTAAATAAACTGACCTGTTTATTTAAGCATCCACGTGCAAACGCCGTCAAAGCAAACCTTTTGCTTGTTTGGGTTCTTTTCCGATAGAGTAAGGGTGACACATCGACCGAATCAGCGAGCAGAAGGGTATGATTGATATGTGTGGTTTAACGTCCTAAAACCACCATTTGATTATGAGAGACGCCGTAGTAATGGGCTCCGGAAACTTCGACCACTTGTGGTTCTTTAACGTGCACCCAAATCTGAGCACACGGGCCTACAACATTTCCGCCTCCATCGGAAATGCAGCTGCTGCAGCCGGGATTCGATCCCGCGACCTGCGGGTCAGCGGCCGAGTACCTTAGCCACTGGACCGAGCAGATGGATATTCGTGGCACGAAGGGGACACTGCTTGCAAGTGGCGCTATAGAAAGCAGCAGACAACTGCAGCGACACGACACGTGTCAAAGCAGTAATAGCCCCCGGCCGGCAAAAGAGCATTGTTGTATTTGTCGCATACTGGGAAGCAGCCCCCGCTTCGGGGGAGCGTTAATTGAAAGACTCCGCGGCGAAGAGGGGGAGGAGGGGCAACTCGGAGGGACTCGTTTTCGGGTGGTTCGCGTGACGGGCAATGCGAAAGGAGCGAAGGGCGTCCTTGACATCTGTTTTACCTGAAGGTGAAGGTGATTGGAAATGCTAACCTGCCTGATGACGTAGAACAATTGCTGGCGAAAGGCCCAAAATTCTGTATACCTTCGCATGTTCCTGCGCATGATCTGATTGCAATGAATAGAAACATCGCGTCTAAAGCGAAGCAAGATTCCCGCGATCAATGCCTACTTGAGGGCGTAGTAAGTTTAGAAAAGTCGGTGCCAAAAGGCCCACCCCGGCATTCAGATCGTTGTGTCCGACGCGCGGTGTCCTTTCTGAGGGCTAACGACCTTTGCCTCATGCAGGCGGATAAAGAGGGTGGTTTTGTTGTTGTCAGCGCTGGTGTGTGTCGTCGCTTTCTTTGTGGATCGTTTTATGTTTGCGCTGTAAAAGTATATTCTTTACCTACAAGCCCAGCCGTGAAGGGAAAGGGGGGGTGAGGGCCACAATGACCCTTCTCGAACACGCGGAAAGCGTTTTGTCCATCTGTCCTTGAAGACCGTCGCACGTGCGGGGTGCGGAGGAAACTCTTTGACAATACTTGTACTTCTCTGTTTGCTTTTCCTTTTTTTCTTCCCCTCTCTACGACAGCGGTACATAGCGAACGAATAAAGCAGTCTTCGTGATGCGTTCAAACTGAAAGGACGTGTTTTTTTCTCTGTCGTCGTCTCACTAAAAAAAGTCTGCCTCCCTGCTATTCCGCTACAACATTTTTTGGTGCCGAAACCCGGGAATAAGGGACCCAAAGATGGACATCGACAGGATGAAGCGCAAAAGGGCCGTGGTGCGAACGTCAACAACAAAGCTGCTCAATGACATCGCTACCATGGAGGACGACGCGTCACTCGGTGAGCTTGAAGAAAAGATCAACCTTCTCACCCTTAAGGAAGACTCACTCAAAGAGCTAGATCGGGAAATTGAGATTGGCGTAGAAGATGATGCATTAGAAGAGGAAATTGCATGCTCCGAGAACTACAAAGAAAAGATCAACGTAGCAAGGACTAAAGTACAGCTCATGCTACGTGAGCTTAGCTGCACTAACGCCGCATCAGTGAGCGCTTCGCTAGATCGCACCTCAAGTTCCTCAGATCAAAGAGAATCTAGCCGTAACATCCCGCAAGTAACCCCCACAGTAAAGCTGCCAAAACTAGAGATAGCAAAGTTCAACGGCGAGCTTCGACAGTGGCAAGGCTTTTGGAGTCAGTTCGACACGACAATAAACGCTAACCACCACCTGTCAAACGTGGACAAGTTCAAGTACCTGAACAGTTACTTAACAGGAAAAGCAGCGGCTGCCGTTGCGGGTCTTGATTTGTCCGACGGAAACTACGAAGTTGCTCTCTCGCTGTTAAAGGAAAGGTTCGGTCGTAAAGAAGCCATAATCGAGGATCACATGTCCAGACTGCTCAATATCAAGTCAGTGCGTGACTCGCGGAACCTCAGCCAACTTCGGAGCCTCGTTGACGAAGTAGAGAGAGGTGTACGGAGCCTCACTTCTCTTGGCGTCGGTGTCAGCACGTACGGAGCTCTGCTCCTGACAGTAGTAAAGAAGGCGGTGCCTGCGGACCTTCATCTCGAATACTGTCGACGAAAGGGCGCTACTACAGGAGGCAGTGAACTGGAGGCATTTGCGCATTTTTTGAGAGTCGAGGTAGAGGCACGGGAGATTATACAGCGGGCCGAAACACCAAGGGGCATGTGTGTAGAATCGTCTGTCGAAAACCGTAACAGCACCTTTAAAGCGGCGAGAATGTCTTCAGCCGCTGCACTGCATACCATGACCAAGGAGAGAAAAGGGTGTCTGTTTTGTTCGTCAGGGTGCCACGAAAGCGGTGACTGCGATGCAGAGATGTCGGCAGCTGATAAAAGAGAAATGCTGAAGCGTGAGAATAGATGTTTCCGCTGCACAGTAAAGGGGCACACGTCAAGAGAGTGCCGTAAGGCCAAATGGCTCAGGTGTGCCAACTGTAGCGGAAAACACCTCACGGCTATGTGTGATCCTGATTTCAGAGAATACCGTGGCAGTGGTGAACAGAATGCATCCTCTCCACCAGCGACAGGACAAGCCACAGTGCTAAAGTCTTCTCTAGGCTCAGAGGAGAAATTTATGTGCATGGAGGGGCATCAGTTTCTTCTGCAAACAGCACGAGCTTGGACAGTGGGACCGCACAAAAGTACGCTTGTCAGGCTTCTCCTAGATGGTGGCAGTCAAAGGACGTTCATCCATCGCAAGTTGTCTGAAAGACTGCAGTTGAACGTGCTTGGGGAAGAGGAACTTAAAATCTATGCCTTCGGCGACAAGTCCGCTATAACCCGCACTAAAGCGCGTCTGGTCGAGCTGTGGCTGCAAAGCCAGTACGACGGGAAAAGGGCGCGAGTGGAGGCCCTCGAAGTTCCCTGCATCTGCGCAGATATAATGGCTGCGCCTTTAAAGTCAGTTCTTCTGGAACTTTCGAAATTTGGCTTGCCAGTCGCGGACGTCGCGCAGGGTGACGGAAGTGAAAACATTGATCTTCTGATCGGCGCTGATCATTATTGGGAAATTGTCACGGGATCCACTAAGCGCCTAACCTCCAAGCTGATGGCAGTAGAAACTGCATTTGGGTGGACAGTCCAGGGCCAGGTAGGCGCAAAAAGGTCACCAGGAGTCTGTCCCTCTGTTGCTGGCGTAATGCGAGTAGCAGTGAGCGAACAAACTAACAAAGAAATATCAGCGCAGTTGAGGTCATTCTGGGAGCTCGAACACATTGGTATCAAGGAACACGAACCAGCTCGCCACCAAGACGCAATCCAACAGCACTACAAAGAAACCGTCAAATTTGAGCATGGGCGGTACACAGTGTCTTTCCCCTGGAAGCCTATGGTTGATGAGCTCGACGACAACTACGAGTGCGCCGCGAAGCGTCTTAGAGCCAACACGACGCGCCTTTTGAAGGGAGATTCCTTGATCGTGGAATATGACGCCTGCATCCGAGAATACATCGAAAAGGGCTATGCAGAGCCAGCCAACAAGCATTGCAGCGCTTCGGAAGGTCCGGTGTATTACATGCCACATCAAGCAGTTGTTCGACAAGAAAGCCTGACAACAAAAGTGAGGGTGGTGTTCGACGCATCATCAAGTGCCAAAGATCGCCTCTCACTGAATGATGTTTTGGAAAGTGGTCCAAAACTTAATCCAGAGCTCATTGATTTGTTGATCAACTTCCGCACTTACAACATCGGCATCGTCGCGGATATTGAAAAGGCATTCCTTCAAATATCTCTGTCAGAGGGTGACCGGAACGCTGTGCGGTTTCTCTGGTATGCTGCCACTCCGAAGAAAGGTGAAGAACTTCCAGCGGTGGCGGCCTACCGGATGACGCGCGTTCCGTTCGGTGTTACATCCAGCCCATTCCTATTAGCCGCAACATTACGACACCATCTTGAAGGACTCCCAGAGCAGTATGCTGAGACTGCGAACATCCTGCGCAGCCATCTCTATGTTGACGACCTTGTGACAGGGGTCGACACCCTCGAACAGGGTAAAGTGCTATGCCAGGAATCAAGCGATATATTATCTCAAGCAGGAATGCGGCTCCACAAGTGGATGTCTAACGACCACGATTTAGTCAACTTCATAGAGGATGGGAACGTGGCGAAGAGGAATGCAAATGCCGAACATCCTGCAGCCACCAAGGTATTGGGAGTAGGTTGGAATGCTCATACAGATAACTTCGAGTACAATCTGACCTCACTTCTTGAATTCCTCACCACAAGAGCCGACAGCAAGAGATTCGTATGGCAAGTCTCAGCCAGAATTTTCGACCCCTTTGGGTTTATCGCTCCTACAACACTGTACGTAAAGACAATGTTCCAAAGGTTGTGGGAGTTGGGAGCGGGTTGGGACGACCCCTTGCCAGAATTGATGCAAGCGGAGTGGAAGTGCTGGTGTGAAGAGCTTCAATGCATCAAGGCGGTGTCCATTCCGAGGATCATCGCAAGGGATTTCCGAGATGAAAAGACAGAGAAGGTGTTGCACATTTTCTGCGATGCCAGCCCAAAGGCCTACGGTGCTGTCGGATACGTTGCATGCAAGTCTGCTCAAGGAATAATCAATATAAGCCTAATTATGGCCAAATCAAGAGTTGCCCCTTTGAAGCGCCTCTCGTTACCCCCGACTAGAGCTGATGGGGGCCCTCATTGGTGCTCGACTGTGCCACTACGTTGCCAAGGCCTTGAACCTCCAGAATGCTGCTGCCATCCTTTGGACCGATTCCACAGTGGCTATGCACTGGATTAAAGGAAACGCTGCCAGATGGAAGCCCTTCGTGGCAAACCGAGTATCAGAGGTTCAGGCGCTGACTGATCCCGAGGATTGGAGGCACTGCCCAGGACTAGACAACCCCGCTGACCTAATCACTCGCGGTATCCTCCCATCAGCCTTGTTAGAAAGCGAATTGTGGTGGAGAGGACCACACTGGCTTCACAAGGATAAGACGCATTGGCCAACGACCGGTGAGCAGAGCCCAGGGGCAGTAGAATGTCACCTGGAAGAGCGAAAAGTGACGGTGATGCCCGTAATATCATCGCCGTTCGAGGCAGTGCTGAAAGTAGAGGAGTTCAGCTCATGCAGCAGAGTCGTGCGCTTAACTGCGTGGGTCCGCCGCTTTGTCAACAATTGCCGCCGCGGGAAAGAAAGGAAAGGTGGTCCGCTACGAGCTGAAGAGGTGATCGATGCTGAGAGGTACTGGTTGGCAACAACTCAGGAGAAGCATTCAGTGACGACATTTCCAACTTGAAAGCCCAAAGACCACTGCACAAAGGCTCTCCTGTTCTGCCACTCAGTCCGTACCTTGACGGGGAAGGTCTCATGCGAGTTGGTGGACGCTTGCAATTCACCGACAACCACGAAGAGACTAAACATCCCATCATTCTACCTAGCACTCATCCCTTCACGCTACTGCTCATAAGGAAAGAGCACGTGAGAATGCTACACTCAGGGGTGCGCGACACCTTGGCGTCATTGCGAGAGTCGTATTGGATCATCCGAGGGCGCCAGGCCGTAAAAAAGGTTATCAAGCAGTGCCTCATCTGTCGCAAACAAAGTTGCCCTCAAGCCACGGAACCAGTGGCACCACTTCCAGCTGACAGAGTAACAGAAGGAAATCCGTTCGACACTGTCGGCATCGATTTCGCAGGACCTTTGATTTGTCAAGAGTCGCGCGGTGCCCGAAAATGTTACATCGCAATTTTAACCTGCGCTGTGACACGTGCCGTCCATCTTGAGCTCGTTAGCGACATGTCGACTACAGCCTTTCTCCTGGCTTTCAAGCGCTTCGTGGCTCGCAGGGGAATCTGCTCGACTATTTATTCGGACAACGCGCTAACCTTCAAGAGAGCAGCAAAAGATCTGAATGCAATGTTCACGCTACTAAAATCAGAGGAAATGCAGTCATACTTCGCCGGAAACCAGATCAGGTGGAAGTTTATTGTTGAAAGGGCAGCTTGGTGGGGCGGATTCTGGGAACGGTTGGTGCGATCGGTGAAGGTAGCGTTGCGCAAGGTGTTAGGTCGGAGCAGTTTAAGCTTTGAAGAACTCACAACTGTCTTGTACGAAGTCGAGGCCGTAATAAACTCACGCCCATTGACTTTCACCTACGATGATGCTCAAGAGCCAGAACCACTGTCGCCGGCGCACTTCCTCGTCGGAAGAAAGCTGACAACCCTTCCTCCACACCACCTGCCAGCCGAAATTCCGGGCGGTGACGCGCATATCTCACGACGCTGGAAGTACCGGTCTGCCATGGCTGAAGGATTCTGGAGACGGTGGCGGAGAGAGTACTTATTGGAGCTTCGATCGGCGCATCTGTCCCGGCCAACGACATCGAGTGACCTAAAGATAGACGATTTAGTTCTTTTAAAGGAAGATCATCTCAACGACACATGTGGAAGATCGCCAGAATCAAGGAAACGTTCAAGGGCAGGGACGGCAGGGTGCGGGCCTGCAGTTTGAAACTAAGCGGGGGAACGGTGGTGAAACGACCAATACAGCTGCTTTATCCGCTAGAAGTCGACCGACAATGAGCTCAAGAGTTCGCTCATCCGGGGGAGGTTGTTGTATTTGTCGCATACTGGGAAGCAGCCCCCGCTTCGGGGGAGCGTTAATTGAAAGACTCCGCGGCGAAGAGGGGGAGGAGGGGCAACTCGGAGGGACTCGTTTTCGGGTGGTTCGCGTGACGGGCAATGCGAAAGGAGCGAAGGGCGTCCTTGACATCTGTTTTACCTACAAGCCCAGCCGTGAAGGGAAAGGGGGGGTGAGGGCCACAATGACCCTTCTCGAACACGCGGAAAGCGTTTTGTCCATCTGTCCTTGAAGACCGTCGCACGTGCGGGGTGCGGAGGAAACTCTTTGACAATACTTGTACTTCTCTGTTTGCTTTTCCTTTTTTTCTTCCCCTCTCTACGACAGCGGTACATAGCGAACGAATAAAGCAGTCTTCGTGATGCGTTCAAACTGAAAGGACGTGTTTTTTTCTCTGTCGTCGTCTCACTAAAAAAAGTCTGCCTCCCTGCTATTCCGCTACAACAAGCATTGCTCGCCGAACCACGCGCATGCAACGCGAGGCGTCAGGTTTGAGCGCAGGTATATATATAGTGCGAGAAATTAGCGAATTCACTAAATACGTGATATAGCGCATTTCCTCGCATATTACCCGATCCTGCATGTAGCTCGCACTCTTAACTCTAACTTTGCAAAAAGCAAAAACAACAACAAAAAAGACAGACAGGTAGACTACCCGCGCGTATAACCCGCACCCCCACTTTTTAAGAGGCACGGAAGTGAAACACTGAAACAAGTTTGATTCATAATGCGCTCTTTGAACACTCTAATACCGTTATAACCTCGCCATCGTAAGTTTATTAATAGCGGAGAAAGTTAGGATCAATGTCTCTTCTTTGCCCCGCCGCAGTGGTCTATAGTGGCTAAGGTATGCTCGGCTGTTGACCCGCAGGACGCGGGGTCGAATCATGGCTTCGGCGGCTGCATTTTCGATGGAGGCGGAAATGCTGTAGGTCCGTGTGCTCAGATTTGGGTGCACGTTAAAGAACCCCAGGTGGTCGAAACTTCAGGAGTTCTCCGGCGTCTCTCATAGTCATATTGTGGTTTTGGGACGTTAAACCCTGCACATCATCATCAATGTCTTCTCTTTAAATTTCGCGCCGATATCACGGCGCGTGACGTCACAAATTTGAAATTTGTATTTGTCGTACTTTGGTGATATTGGCGCAACGAATTTTCCTGAAACATGGTATGTTAAGAGTATATGGTTTGCTCAGAGGCCAGTCTAATTTCATTTTTGCCGATTAGAAGCTATACGCAAGGTCTAGTTAGCGCCGTCAAAAGCTGTGACGTCATGTTCTTTGGTGCAGGAATTTCAAGGTGGCGTCGCCACCCACATTTGTTTTTTTTTTTCACGTGTTTTTTCGCTACGCAAGTGTTTTCTCGCGGAAAGCGTGGCGATTTTGGAATCGTAAGAGAGTAATTTACCAATGGTACACAAATCGTTTTTTTTTCTTTGTAGTGTCTCATTAAGAGATTTTTTTTTTCGGTTTTGGTGCGGCTTATGTGCGTGAAAATACGTATGTGGCGCAGCGCGCTTAAAGCTGACACGGAGGTATGCGGAATGCCGGATTCGAGCTGTATATATATAGTTGTATAAGACGGGCGGATTGTGAAAGAGATTACCCGCCTTGTGTCACTTACACACGCCTCCTTTGTCGCCTACGCTGAGGTGCTTGTAACCCATCGGCGACATGCTCGCGCACGTCGGTGAACACAGCTCGGTGTCCCCATCGATTTCGCGCGGCGATCGATGCCAACCTATTTCACCGATACGAGGAACTGGGTCGCGCGTTCTCCTACGAAGAAAAGAGTTGTTGTTACCGCGAAATGACCGAAATGCGCTTTCTGCAGCGCTTTCGACGGAAGGCCGACGATTTCTGTGAAGCAAACGCTCGCCATGTCTCTTCTCCACTTCTCGTGTATAGCACATTTTCAAAGCTCTCGTCGAAAACGCCTCCCTCGTTCCAGTGTAATGCGCTTCTGCAGAAGTCGCTTTCGTTTACACGTACAGGATATATGTATCAGGCCGTGAAAATTGGTGGTGGTGGTAGTGGTTAGAAGATGAAAAAAGGCACCTAATTTCTGCAACCCGGTCGGGAGCACGGCGCAGTTATCCCTATAGTTACATTTCCCTATAGTTACATTTCCCTATATCCCTATAGTTACATTTCTTCAATGAAAATTGAAGAAATGTAACTATAGGGATAAAGCGTTCCTTCTTTCGCTCTTACATGTTTGTGTTATTTTGTTTGAGTAAAATAAACGGATCGGGGGGGGGGGGGATGTCGGCGTCATCGTCATAGTTGTTGTTGTTGTCAATTGTTACAGAGTTCTGGCTTTATCAAGCCCTCCAAAGCAGAAGTACTTATGCCTTGTGGTCAGTACCGTTTTCAGCTTTTTTAGAAAACACTAATCACTTATAAGCGCCGGGTACATGAACGGAATTTGATCTTACCCGCGTCGTTCTTCATTATAGTATCTTATCTTCTTATCTTCTTAGGCTATAACGCCACTGAGCTTTTAGATAAATTAAACTACGCAGTACAGTAGCTTGAAGACTGGTGTCTTGAGAATTATGTAAGTATAAACCCTCCTAGTTCGTATAGTTTTCCATTCTCCTCATAAATTAGTGATATCTGCCTTGCAAATACAAATAAGTAATGTTGAAATTAAACAAGTTCCGAGGTGTCATTGTACATTTAAATCTAAAATTCAATACCCATATCGATTCGGTAGTTAACAAAATTAGAATCGGCATAAGTGCATGAGTTAATTAAAACGCGTTCAAGCTTCAGTATCAGCGCACTTCTCTCACTTTGCCACGCCTTCATCTATACTCATATCAGATATTGTATTACCACTTGGGGAAATACTTATTACACTCACACCTCTCATTTGGTTAGCATTCAGAAGTGCGCTCTGCTAGTTATCACTTTTTCTCCCCGCGTTCATCGCTCAAGCCGCTATTTTTTAGAATTGAATGGTATGTTGTTTGCGCATAAAAAGCAAGCCTGAGGTTCTCGCGGCATAAAGTCTTGAACCACCAAGTTTCTATCGATGTCCTTCCAATTCATCAATTCATTAATAAGAATAAGACCGGGTTTGCAATATCAAACAATATTTTTCTATATATACGGAAAATCGCTACGAGTTATGGAAAGCAAACCGCCTGTTTCAGCGCAATTTGCAATTGGCACGCTCTCAACACACAACTTAAAACTTTATCATTACATCAATTTCGATCATCTTTGAAAACATACCTGCTCTCGTCAATTTATTAGCATATCACTCCGTTTGTGCATTGTCTTTATTGATGTCATGCCTGCGTATTTTTTTTGTTCGTTCCTCGTATTAATTAGGTTAATAATTATTGTGTTGCGAATATTGAAGTTTTTCGTTTATAATATATATATATTATATATATATATATATATAATATATATATATATTTATATATATACATATATATATATATGTGTGTGTGTGTGTGTGTGTGTGTGTGTGTGTGGTGTATATATATATATATATATGACATTGTATAATAAATAATAAATTTATTATTATTATTATTATTATTATTATTATTATTATTAGTAGTAGTAGTAGTAGTAGTAGTAGTAGTAGTAGTAGCACTTTCTTACATTTCAAACACCTCCATGACGTGGCTGTGTTGTC